ATTTAATTTTTGCGTGATATCTGGAAGGGAGATCGTCACAAAATTTAGCCAATGAAATCAAATGTCCACTATGCTATATATAATATAGAAAATTCTCGTTACACAAAAAAATTTTGATGGAAAATAATTCAATAACACGCAAGTAAAAATTTTTTAATAATTATAATTTATTATTAATAATGAATGATAATAATAAATCAACAATTTTTTTTAATATTTAAATTAATAGACAACATAATTGGATTTTTATTAGGTAAGGTGCAAATTATTATTATTAAAATAAATACAATAATATTTAACGTTTAAAAATAATTAACCTCATTGATATTATTATTAAAGTTGCAATATGCTGGGGATTCACAAATCCGTTTATTAAAAAAGGAAGCAAAGGAATTGAAAATATTAAACATGATAATTGGTTAAAACAAACAGTTTTTGAGATTATTTTTTTGTTTACTAGATGGCAGGTAAATTAACAATCAATTATAAAAATCATCATATGACAAATAATAATAAATTTTTATTTATAAAATTACTAGTATATCTTACCTTTATTGCTTAATTTAAGTGGCTCGATTGTTTATTATTATACACTTGGACAATCAGATTTATCATTAGCAATTCCAATAACAAATTCATTAACATTTATATTTACTACATTGGCTGCAAGCTTAATAGGTGAAGAGATTGGATCCAAGGGTAAATATTCCAATTGATGATATATTCAATAATTAATATATATATATATTAAAAAGATTCACCATTAATATAATTTTTTTTATTAAAAAATCTATCAAGAAACATGGATTGGTATGGGACTTGTAGTAATTGGAGTTGGATTATGCGTTGATAGTAAAGTTCAATGATATATATCTTTTTATTTTTTCCTTCTAATAAATAATAATGTAAAATAAACAAACAACTTGTCTGTCATAAATAAATTTTAATTTTTTTTTTATTCTTTTGAAGAAGATGTTGATTTTTCATTTGATCCGGTCTTTTTTATATTTAATTTCAAGGTGAGTTTTCTAAGAAACTTGAATTTCTTTTGATTATTTCCATTTGGAATTACTATTTTTTCTTTCCCTTCTTTATCTTTTTCCACGCCCTCTTTTTCTTTTTCTGGTTTTTCCTCTTCTTTTTCAGAAAGTTGTTCAGATTCTGTTTCTTCCCGGTCATTTTCAGGAATTTCATTGATTTTGATGTTAACTGTTAATTTTTCAATTGACGAATCCTGATGTTTTGGATTGAACTCAAATGTATAACTAAAATTATTAATGAAACCAATGAATTCTTTGACAAGTGGATTTTTGACAATGAATAATTTATCAGAATCTAAAAATGTTATGTCGATAGTTTCTGTCATAAGATTTTCAGATGTTCCTATTTCATAAGTTGATTTTTCTAATTTAAATTTAATTAATTGATTATCAAAGTCTGAAATATTATTATTATTATAATTGGATTTGTTTGTTGATTTTGTTTTAGGTCGTTTTGAATAACTTGTGAAATTAGTTACCGAACTACTAACTGGCGTACACAAAATAATAAACCCAACTAATTTTCCAATGAATTCACAAACCTTTCTACCACTCTCTCCACCAGGAATCATATTTTTTATACCTATAAATAAACCAGGTTCCATCACACTAATATCTTTTTCTACACCATCTTCACCTTCATTTGCATCACTAAAATATCTATACATTAAACACCATGATATAATTGCTCTGTCAACATGAGTTAGTCCAGGAGTGTTACAAAGTAGTCCACCTGCAAGTGGTAAGGCAAAACCGTTGATTGGGCGTGCTTCTTTTGCAAGGTTCATTGACCATTGTGATAGTGATATAATACTAGGAAGAAGACGTTTGAGTCTTTCTGGTTTATTATTACCAGTGACATCAGAATCAAGTATTTCATCAAATTTCTCTGGTATGGAACCTTTCAAAATATTTAGTATATGTTGGGTTCTATATTTAATCTGGTCCGTTTGTAATGGGTTTTTCTCAATAAAGGTTTCTAATGGATCTAATTTTTGAATTTCTTTGTCCATCATTTGAAAGCATATTCCTTGACGTATGCCACCTTCACAAAAATAAATATCACCTATATCAATGCATTGCATTATAGCATTGATTAAGAAACAGCACGCTGGCATTAATCTAGCACGCCTGTTATCAACACGAAATGGATTTCCATTAGGAAATATTAATTCTGGTGATGTTTTAAATTCTACTTGTTTTGATGGTGTAATTGGTTCTATTACTTTTTTCAATTTCTCGGAAGATGTATAGAAACCATTGATTATTGGGATTGAATAAGAATATTTTTCACCTGAATCACATTCAGCTCCACTTTCTGACATACATAAATAACCTAAAGAACGAAATCCACCACCACTCATATAAACGGTAAATTTCCCATCAACTTTGACATCTTCAGGAGCATCTAAGCTTGCAATCCCTTTTTTTAAATCTTGTACTATATTATTTGATAATTCAGTAAGTTTCTCGGGAGTATTATTTTGTGTCAATAATTTTGTTAAAGCAGCAGCACCATAAGGAAGATTTATTGGCGAATCTGATGTTTTGAATTCGGCAGTTTTTCGATCAAATTTCAAATAATTTATTTCTACAGATCCACCACCCATATCCATTACTAAACCCTCCACGCCATTATAAGTTGCTGCAATACCTTTGCCAGAAACTACAGCCTCCTCTTTTTTGTCTAATAGTTTAACGGGTGCTTGAAATGATTTTTTTATTCTTTCACGAAAATCTGAAGAATTAGGCGCAGTGCGAGTTGCTTCGGTGGCCACGATAGTAACATCTTTAATTTCCACACCATAGCTTCTACACATATAATTAAATCTTTTCATGGTATTCTCTACATCACGTATAACATTTTCTGATATATTGGATTTTTCCCCGGATTTAGAAGAATGTTGTGCATCAAATAATGAAATGGGTGCACGTTCTTCATAAAGTACTGGTAAATGTCTATCTAATGAAGAGACTAAACCAAAACGAATACCATTACTTCCAATATCGATAACTCCTTTTGATGAATTCTAAAATAAATTTAAAATGTATTATATAATAATTTTCTTTTAATTAAAATGAAATTTTTTTATCTATTTCTTACCATTTTTTATAAATTAAAAAAATTTTTTTTACACATTAATTAGTTTTTGTGTGAAATATTTATATATTAATACAAAAAATTCGAATGCAAAAACAGTAGTATTGAATCGTTTTTTTTTCCAGAAAAGGTATATTAATATGATAAGTATGCATATTATTAATATACGGGGACAACAAGATTAAATTGCGCAAATCAAATTTAATGTGTAAATTTATGCAGGTACTATAGTTGGCTCGGTCTAAAAGACTTCCTAAATTTTGGGAAAATTTTAAAAGTATAGAAGTCACTTTTTGTCCTACCTTTTAAAAAATAGCTCTATTAGTTGATAGAATATGTCTTTAGTTTTAATTTAATAGAGAGATTTTCTCAAAAAAATTATTTAAAACATCTACTTGCAAGGAATTTGTCTACTATGATCATTTCTAAATTTAGGAAAAATATTACCAAATTTAGACTAGCTCTTGACTATTGTATCTAAATTTGGCAGTAAGAAAACTAAAATCACGTGAAGTCCTATTTTTTGAACGAATTTACAAAATTGCCATTTTGAAATTTGGTCTCATGGCGCAGCAATAGGAGGTCTTTAGACCGAGCCAACCATATTATTATTATTACCAAATAAACCGAAAAATTGGTACAAGAGTAGTCCATATAAAAAACTAGGCGACGATTTTTTGAATTTACTATGCTTGCTTGATTATTAAAAAAACCCCTGGTTTTAAAATAAAATAAAATGAATGAACGAAAATGAAAAATTTAAGCACTATAAGTGATAGAATAAATTTCAAAGTTTTCGTTTGTTATGTACTATCTTTTTTATGACTGTGGCTAAAATTAGCAGTGGACTAGATAAATTTTATTATGATGCAGTTCATCTAAAAATTAATGATATTTGAAAACACGTGACTCCAACCCAGACACCAGATTTGCGTAATTTTGCGTAGGGTGTTAGATATAAGTAAATCAGTGTTGGAAATTTTCGGTTCCAGTAGAAAAATCACTGGAACAGTTTGGAAACATCACTGGAACCAATGAAAAATTGTGTAAATTTATTTTTAATTACATATAAATAATATGTAATAATGAATAAATATGGGTAATGTCACTACCACTATATAGTTCTTTTTTCTTTTGGGTCAGACTTTATGACAAAGCTTGAATGATGTCAATTTTTCAAATAATTATCTTTTTTTTGTACATGGCCCCATGTGATGATATCATATAACCATTTTGTAGATGTTCACCTTGTGGTTACAAGTTCCATAACTAATTATAATGTAAAAGATTTTTTTAAAAAAATGAGTAGTAGACACACAGGTGGAAAATCTTTGCATGTCTTACAAATATGTTGTAACAAAAAGAGAGTTAATTGCTGGTTAAAATATAAATAATGTAATATCACAAATAGGGATGATATAGTTGGAATAAAATTAACTTTTTAAAATAATTATTTGTGAAAAAAATTTTTTACACATGGTGTGGTTTTACCTAATGGTGATGATGATGATAATGATATATTTATTGACTAATTATTATAAACCATTCCATTATATATATTATAAATTAATAAATCTGAAAATTTTTTCTTGCTTGAATGTTGAATCATCATTTATTCATAGTGATCTCTTCATTATTACTAGATGATGACAATGTCACTTCATGTGAATCCTCTTCTATCAATATATTACTATCAACAACAGTACCTAATAATAAAAAATAAAAAATAAATCATTCATAATAAGAAAATCAAAACTAAGAAATGAATAATTAACAAATTTTTTTTACAAGCCAGTCAATTAACTTCTCAATATTACCCTCATACCTTTATGAACAAACTCCAATGTCATTGCTATTTCTCTCATATCTCTCTCTACAACTTCTGCCCAATTCTGTACATTACCTAATTCCTAATTATGTTTAAGTATAAATCTTGATCAAAAAAATTTTTTTACAAGACAAAAACTTGAATATATACTTTTATTGCCGTGTTAAATAAATTTAACATATTCAACCATTGTTTAGTTTGCTTGGTATATTTAGCAGATTGTGATGATAGATGTCGACTTTCTGATTCTATTTCACGTTGAGTTTTGAATATTGATGCTACTCTTTTAATTTATTATTTTAAAAATTGATTGATTGATTGATTGATTGTGTCAATTGTAATATTAATTATTCTTATGAATTTAATTTGATAACCAAATTAAAATGTAAAAAAATATCATTCATTCTTTAATTTATCCATGTATGTACCTTTCGTTTAAAGTGTCTGACAAAGAATCTGTCACTCCATTTACTGCTTGAATAGCCTCTTTTCGAAGTTGTTCTATGTATGATGGAACAAATTTTGTTGTTAGTGGTTTTGCATTTGTGGAAATGTCATATTACATAATAAAACCATATAGGTAATAATCAATTAGTTATTTAACAATAGCATTATACCGTTATTACGTCTTACTGACTGTTGTTTTTGTGTATGTTCTCTAACGAGTCGTGAAAGCATGCTTAAAAAAAAGAAATAAATATTGCAAATCACATGCTGCTCATCCTTAATTATGATTGGACCAAATATTAAAATGGGTCATACACTTTCAAAATATGCGTATTTATAACTACCATGTCCGTCTATTGGATCAAACAATGTTGAGGATGCCATTTTTTGAATTAATATATAGTGTACATGTTCAGGTTGCCAGACACCTTCTGAAATAAGAATATCACCAGTAGGTAATTCAGTGAAGGTAGGTAGGGTTTCTATTTGCAGTGATGTGCCATTGGAAGATTTGAAGGGATTGGAACTTCCAATCTTCTAATTCCAATCTTCCAATGATGGAGGGCATTGGAAGGTTGGAAAGGCTTACACGTTATCAATATTTATGGTCCAATCAAAACTTATTCACGTGATAAATTGAGGACAATAATTACATTGTAAGGTCATTGGGGAATTGGAAGAATGGAAGTTCCAATCTTCCTAGAGCTTGTATCTGTATACCCGATTTTTCAGATATCTGGAGATATCTGTCAGATTTCAGATAAACAAAATTTATTTCAGATCAGATCAAATTTCAGATAAACAACCAATTTTGGATAAGATTTCAGATAAATCAGATAAAATTTCAGATATTTAAATTTATCCAAATTTATTTGTTTGTACTATATATATATGATATATATGAGATATTTTTTTTTGTAATATGAATGATTGATAAATAATTTTTGTAAATAAATAATTACAATAATGTTAAAAAATATAAAAAATAATATTATAGCTTTTCTTGAAAAGAAATATGAAATTTTTTGACACAATTTTCTGTTTTTTTTTATATGCATTTTTTCTTGATGTAAAAAATTTTTATGCACTTTTTTTTTGGCATAAATACTTTTGATAATAAACAATAAAATCAAAATATCTAACATGACAGATATCCCAAGTATCTAAATATTGAAATTTGAAGTATATTTGAATATTTGAAACTCGACAGATATCCAAATATTCAGATATTTGAAACTTGACAGATATCCAAAATCTGAATATTTGAACTAGATGGATATAAAGCTCCTCACGAGCTGGCTTGCAAGCCAAAAAACTTATTCAGCTTGCGAGCTGGCTTGTGAGCCTACTAAGTTATTTGGCTTGCGAGCTGGCTCATGTGGAGCCTTAGATGGATATCTGGATATGTTTTAACAGCTAAAATCCAGATTTCAAATGGCTTTGATAATATTCAGATCAAATAACAGATATGATTGTGTAATAACAGATTGGATACAGATTAAGAGATAGGGTTTGAATACAAGCTCTGAATCTTCCAATGCTTTTTTAAACCATCACACAACATGTTTAATTTTGGAGTATTCTTATAGTGATCAGCAGTGTTGTGCAATTGGAACATTGTAATGCTATTGGAATGTTCCAATGTAGATCTTCAATTGATATTAACCAATAAATTCATTGGTCAACTTCATTGGAACCACATTTGGAATGTTCCAATGAAATTTTATTGGAACCATAAATGGCACAACACTGGTGATCGGTGGTGCAAAAAGGTGACAAAAACTGCTAATTGTCAACCTTTACACGAAAAGTTGCATTATACTTTTTGTGCCACAGGGTGATGTGGCTTTTATATATGAATAAATTAAAACTAAAAAAATAATTTTATATAAAAACTAACATAATTTAGTGTCATCAAAAAAACTTTTCTATGCAGGAAATGCTGATTTGGATAATCAAATTGCTAACTGTTAACCTTTGCATGAAAAGTTGTATTATTCTTTTTGTGCCACAGGGTGATGTAGTTTTTATATATAAATTAGTTAATCTCAAAAAAATTTTTTTTTATTTTGTGCAAATAAATGAATATGTAAATTTATTTTCCCCAATTCAATTACCCATGTCGATTTAATGCTGCACATAATTTTTTACACTTTTTAAACATTTTAACCAATTGTTAAAGGTATATTATTGCTATATAATAATTGCTAATTGCAAACACATCCATAAATTTTTTGGGAGGTGTTAAGAAACAGAAATTTGATAAAATTTAATTTTTAATTCTTGAATTTTATTGGCTGGAATGTTTGATTGGAAGCTTCCAATGCACATCACTGCTATTTGTAAATACAAATTCTTATTCAAACTATTTGCTTTATTTATTCATTTATTTGAATAGAAGCCCTAAGTGGAGGTCCCCAAACAATCTTGGGAGTTAAATACCCACAGTTGTACCCTCTTTTATATCCCCTTTTTGTATCAGTACTTTGGTGGGATATATCTTAAGTAGTTGATCATTTTTAATGAAATTTTGTTTTATTTAATATTAATAAATTCTGTCAACAAAGGATTGACATTTTGCTTTATCTCCCTACAGAAAATAACATATGGAAAAACAGTACATGAATTGTATTTTTTTACTGAAAACATACTGGACAATTGGTTGGTCCACAATTTACTATCTTACCTTGACTAGAAAAAAGATATCACAGTCATTAAACACTAGTAAAGTCAAGGATATATCTCCAGGCCAAAGCTTAGTCATCAGGAAATAAATCTTATGATGCTGACATAATATTGTGTAAATCTTACAGTGCCAATGTAAGTTTTACACTTTTTTATTATTAAACTTATGATTGACACATGCAAATTTTTTTAATATTTTCCAGATGCTATCCAGCACTTTGTACAATAAAGGATATCATATAATCATAGATGGAATGAGTCTGCAGACCAATATGGTCCAAGACCTATATGAAGGATTCTCTAGCAAAAGATAGCTTAAGTGCACTCTGACCAAAATTGAGATTTTTGCATAATATATGTTTATATTATAACAGTGTTGTTAATTTCCGGTTTTCAGAAAGATTTTTACTGGAACTGGAAAATTGGAAACTGGAACATTTTGGAAATGAATTTGGAATTTGGAAAATTTTCCAATTTTGGATACTTGTGAAACCAAATTTAATTGGAAAATTTTAACAAAAAATGTCTCATGGAAAGCCACCTCATGTTTTTAATGAATTTTTTAATGTTAATAAAGATGTTTTGATAAATAAAAGCAATTTTCTGGCAATATGCAAGGGATGCATAGTTAGGAAAGGTTTTGATTGGTCATTTAGTGAAGCTGTTAGAAGTAAAATTTCTAACACTCTTCCTTCCATTGAAAAACATCTTATATCTTGTGACAATTTCAAAGTTGTATATCCCAATAGAATTGAATTTGTTAATATACAACTTGAAATAATAAAAAATAAAAGAAATATTGGTAGAACAAGTCAAGGTATAGTAACATTTATATTTAATTTTCAGATGTTGTATTATATAATAATAATAAATAAATAAATCACTATGATACTATAGCTAATGGTGATGTTGAAGATGATACAACTATTTTTAATAATAATTCGCAAAATGAAGTCATTCCAATTCATTCAAATACACCCAGTAACTCTGTTATCCCAAACAAAAGAAAGGATAGTAATAATCACTTGCTGACAATGAAAGATTGAAGCTTTATTTAGACCAGATTTAAATCCACTTGCTGATAGTTCCCTAAATTAAAATTTGGTTTTGTTTAAAAATCTTGTGGGCGTTTTTTTAATAAAAATAATAAATATTTGATTCATTTTTAAAATTTTTAAAACCATTTGTGTTCCAGTTTTGGTTACTGTTCCACAATAAGGTTTCTGGAAAACTGGAATGTGTGTTTTCCAATTTCCAGTTTCTAAAATTTAACAACACTGTACTATAAGGATTATAACTGGTGAAAAAATTGGTCATTGTTTATTTAGTGGGGGAAATGAGATACAAGGCTTGAAAATTTTTAATTTATATAATTCACTCAAAACATTTTATTATGACTTAAGCTACCTTTTGCTAGAGAACCCCCATATAATAAGTAAAGCCAAATGTTCAGTATCTAAATCTTCCAAGGTTGTCAAACCCACAATAGCCTCAGTATCTGGAATTTCTGAGATCATAGAATCTCCTGAAATCAATGGTACTTTTGAAATTGTCAAACCTAATAATGATGACTCTGAATCATCTTCCAACTTATCTGCAAACAACAAACCTCAGCCCTTGCCCAAGTATGTTTTTAATAACTTGTGCTAGTTTGAATTTTTGTTCTTATTCTCTTATTCTGTTTTTTTTTTATAAAACTCAGTTATCATAATAAATAAAAATATTTCACTTGAATCTTTGATCATTATTCACTTTGCTTAAATTAAATATCAACATAATTAATTCCAGCACAAAAGTTGCTGCCAAAAAACTCTTTGGTTCTTAACATTCTTGAGTTTTTCAGAAAAAATTATTTCAGCATTTAATTAATCATTACTAAATGTGTGCACTAAACTTATTACTCTATAACCTGCGCAAATATTTAGCATCATAATTGTCATTTAGACTATTATACAATTGGACAAGTAAGTCATAATTATAATTGGATTATTGGTGGTTATTATAGTTAATTAATTGTCAAGCTTTCATGATAAATAATTCTTTTCATGCAATGGAGGACCCATGTGACTCACTTAAATATGTTATTAAAGTCCAGCAAGTGGGAGAGTAGAACTCTTGCTAGTGGCACATACTGGGTGTATTGACCCTTTATCAAATATTGCTTAATCAGGTGATATTATTTGAGACATTGGTCTTTACAATTTTAGTCTAGCACCATTGGTTGTAAATTTACGGGTGTTGAGTACCAATCTGTGATTACTCAATCATTCACCGAATATCCTCTGAATAAATCAATAAAATTTGAACCGATTTGAATCACCTAATTTTTGGTTCAATTCAAACCTGATTCGAACCTATAAATGATTTGATTTGACTTGGTTTGAATCTAATTCAAATATATACCATATGAAATAATTTGAATTCTGCATAATTTTAAAAGAGTTGCCTTTGAAAATAAATGGTTTCAAAAGTCAAAAAATATATTTACTTAGTGCAATAATTGCCTCTTGTTCTATACCATGCGACATCATTTTCAACAATGGAATCATTGTCATTCATCATTGCTATAGTTATTATTTAAATTATATTATATACTATTTATTTGTATGCAAAGTTTCTATTCGTAATACAATTTTTATTCGAATTACTCGTTTTATTAGAATAAACATTCAATGTATTTCGAATTCATAACAAATAAAAAAAATCATTTGAATAAACCTTATTCAAATAGAAACCCTGTTAATAAGAAATTTAAGAATCCAATTTGATTGAATCCAGTTTTTTTGGAATTCGAGTCATTTTAAAATTCGACTCAACTTGTTTCATTTCGTTTCGTTCAAAGCCTTACCTCCAAATATCTAATTCTGAAGTCTGTGGAGATAAAATAGTATGCTATCTATTTACAGTTTACTCTCTCTATAACGGATCTTTCTATAACGGATTTTTCTCTATAACGGACAAAAAATTCTGGCCCAATTTTTTACTATTTAAAACCTCTTTCTATAACGGATTTTATTAGTTAAATTTTATATAATGTATAACGGACAGCACCCCGAAAACATTCTATATAAATCCCTCTCTCTATACCGGATTCACGTGATTTCAAAACTAAAATGCAGATCTTGAATCATATAGTCATTATTTAGATCACTATACAAATTTCAAATAATCTCTTAATTGTTAATTAATAAAGAAATCAAAAATTGATGATGTTATTGCCAAGCTAAAATAATGTCAATATTATTTTACGTGTAAATAAATTATAAATCAGATGTCATGTAACATGTCATTGTGATGTGTTTAGATTTTACCTTTTTTTTTACCTGATTTTTGTATTAATTCAATTTTTAAATTTCCATTAATCAAACCTAATTCATATCAAATTGATTCATTTATTACCTATTCTGTTTTATTATTTATTTAAAATGTCATTAAATAAGAGAAAATCTTTAATAGCTTTGATAAAAAGAGATATTTATAAAGAATTAGCAACAGCTTTTGATATTAGTACAAGTACAATTGGTGATATTTTAAATGAAAAAGATAAGTGGCTTTCTATTAACCCAGAATCCTCCGATGCTACCAAGAAAAAAAGGAGAATCTTGATATATGAAGAAGTTGATCAAGCATTAACTATTTGGACAGAGAAAAGCTATTGGTGCAGAGTTAGACATTACTGGTGATATATTGAAAGAAAAAGCAATATGCTTTGCCCAACTTCTTGATATTAATGACTTCAAAGCATCAGAAGGATGGTTAACAAAATTCGTATACAAAACAAGGTGAAGCTAATAATAAAATTTTTTTTATTCATTAACTTATAATCATGTGATGATCGACAAAATTCTCTATACTAATACCGGATTCTCTCTATAACAGTCACAGGACATTTCCCACTGATCTATAGGAGGTTGTAAAACATAGTAAAATTTGGATGATCTGCATCATAGTAAAATTCGAATTTACATAGTAAAA